GAAAGTGTCAATTTGAGAATAACAGTGCAAAAAGATTGGGTACATTCAGGCGGCGCCAGCGGCTTAGTTCAGCCACTCAGCGGGAACAGAGGAGAGCAGCGTTCTCATTGGAACGAAGGTTCTGTCTTTGTCGTTTGGCATAACACTGACAATGACAGAGCAATCGTTCTTATGAAAACGCTGTTCCTTGGTTTTGAGAATAGACTCCCTGCTGAGTGGCTGAGCTTAGCCGCTGGGACCGCCTGAATGTACCCATTGTTTCCTATTCAGCCTATGGCAACTTTGACAGTGAATATAGCTGTATTCCTTTCAAGTGTTTGAAACACTCGAGCTACTCGCTCTGGTGTTCAGTCGCCCACGAGTTGCAGGGAACAGATGCGTGGTGCAACAAACACTTTTCGAAAGGAGTAGGCGCGTGAAGCCCCGGAGCTGTTCCGGAGCTCCTCCTAGGTGTGAAAGGAATACAACTTATGAAAGTAGGTACACAGTTGTGACGAGAATCAAAATACCTTTAAAACAAGGTACCACTCGACCGATCTTTCCTGCACTCTAGGGTGCACCCCACCCAGGGGTTGCACCCTAGCGAAATACCGATGGGGTCAAAAAGTTTCTCACTTGAATACAAAAATGACGTGTCCCAGCGTTTTTTTAAATCGACCTTAAAATACCCTAAAACTTTTTTTTTTTTTTGTAACTGTTCAAGCCAATGAACTATAGTAAAAACTGGAATGCGCACACATTAGTTGTATTCCTTTCACACCTAGGAGGAGCTCCGGAACAGCTCCGGGGCTCCACGCGCTTATTCCTTTCGAAAAGTGTTTGTTGCACCACGCATATGTTCCCTGCAAATCGGGGGCGACTAAGCACCGAAGCGAGTAGCTCGAGTGTTTCAAGCTCTTGAAAGGAATACAGCTATTGCCATATCTGCCAAAAAAATGTAGCCATGAAAGATAAGCTGTATTCCTTTCAAGAGTTTGAAACACTCGAGCTACTCGCTCCGGTGTTCAGGAGCCCCCAATTTGCAGGGAACAGATGCGTGGTGCAACAAATACTTTTCGAAAGGAATAGGGGCATGAAGACCCGGAGCTGTTCCGGAGCTCCTCCTAGGTTTGAAAGGAATGAAACTATAGATGCCACAAAGGGGAATGTTGTTTTTTTCTGTTGCTCGCTGACATATGACGTTAGGGAAAGTTTTGTCATATTTACCTTCACAGGTTTCATCAATTGGAATACGTATTGGAAGCAATTTCCGCCATTTCACATAATGAGTGCGACAAAAACAGGTATCCCCTCCACAGCAGCGGCACTACGCTTCACGTTCGTCAATATGTGTTCGCATCCCAGTTTTTGATTATAGTTCATTGGTTCAAGCTGATAAAATTAGCTAAAAGGAAGGTGGTGCTTTTTGGAAACAACAAAAAATTAAAAAAAAAGAGGAGAAACTCAAATAAATCTTGGAAAAGACCTAACTTTAAGTTAACTCTCAAAGTAGTTTTATAATACCCGCCCTTAGTATATGATATGGGCTGCGTATGGTGTTATAATTGTTTCGAGAAAAATGCACATTATTTTTCTGCACAAATTTCACATGCTATTCTGTGTTTGTGAAAAAATGGGCATTTGAAAAAACTATGCATCTACCCATTTTTTATATTTTTTTTTTGCTGAAATAAAATCTCGCGAAATAGGTTTTTCTAAGTATCTCCTATCTTCTGACTTTCCTTATTTTAGATTGAAGCTCCTCTAGTTTCATCACCCTTTTTCACTTTGTTTGTACAAAAAATATGTTCGAATAAAAAAACGTTGGTGATGATGTATTGCAACTTTAAGTTTACAAAAACTAAGAACCTTGAGGCGGTAGGGTTCAAATTGCACCCGGCGATAAATCGGGTAAGGGCGGCACTGCTCGTTACCTACAAGTTGTATTCCTTTCAAGAGTTTGAAACACTCGAGCTACTCGCTCCGGTGTTGAGAAGCCCCCGATTTGCAGGGAACAGATGTGTGGTGTACAAACACTTTTCGAGAGGAATAAGCGCGTGAAGCCCCGGAGCTGTTCCGAAGTTCCTCCTAGGTGTGAAAGGAATACAACTACTGTCTACAACAGTCCATCGAGTAGGTAAACTGGAATTGACGTTTTCAATTAAAAGAGATAGACGATAAGTATGAAAACATTCGTTTTCCCGCCAACATTTGCTTGCTTGTCAATGTCAATGTGTATTGAGTTTCTAGCAATTCCCTCGTTTTTATTCGAATCGGTGACTTCACCAATGAGTAAGCTACCTTCATTAAGTGAATGGAAAATGACAATGACCGACATAAAATGGTGGATCCATCGGTAACATTTGCGCAGGGTTTGAAATTGAGAAGAAAATGTGGGAAAAGTCACTGCTTCATTCGCAGAACTTCGCTATGAAGACGGTAATGGAATATTTTGGAAGCAAACAGCTTCTGCAAACTAAACTTGAACGTGGATTACTTTGTATACTTGATGGTGCGTAGATTTCTCTTTCTTTTGCGAGTATCCTTTCTGATTTTGTGTATCCAAATTTTGACAAATGTAGAATTTGATAGAAACTTATGGAAAGACGCATCCGCCGGTGAATAGGATGTATTTTTATGAAAAGGCACACTACACAGAATCACCACTGTTAGGAAAAAACCTTGAAAAAACCGAGGAAATAATAGTTTTTTTCAAAAGTCTTGTCTACAAACCACTGTCAACGGCTGTCAACCATTGTTTTCATACTCTTTTGGCATCTGACAGTTTGATGCCAGAGAGAGAGGTTTTTAAATTGAAAAGGTCACTTTTAATCAGGGCTTAGAATGTGCTCTAACCACATCATACTTATAGACCTTGGCCCATGCCAAACTTTGACAATATATCAAATTCGTTAATCGAGAGCAAAAGTATCGGCCCTGTGGTATTAATGCTAAGTCACCTGCAAACTGAACAATTTCTAATGCACGGGATACGATCAGGCTGTATACAAGGGAAAACGGCTTTCGGGCCTCAAATTCATAAAATATGATAATAGACACTTTAAGTTAGACAAAATACGTTAACGCTAACGTAAGATTTGACAGCTGCGCATGCGCAGTTTCTTTTCACCAAAAATAGCGTGTTACGTGTCACGTTGTTTAACGGGTCTTTGCGTATACCTTATCCGTAAACGTTTGTTAAACCGAGTGGGCCTGAAAGCCAGATTGCCGGTGTCGACCTTTGCCAAATGTATTTAAACCTTAAAAAAAAGTTGTCATGTAATTCAAAAAATCAAAATACGAAAAATTATTCCTGATTTGTCCTTTTCACAACAAAATTTAGAGGTTAGGTCATGATTGTGAGATATAACGTTAACGTTTACGTGAAAATTTAACTTAAAAGAGAGTTCTCGTGCTGTCCAAATTTCAAATACCGTAACGTTATTTGACAAGTATGACAGTTCTTACGGTATTAGCGTTAGCGGAGCCCGCTACCTAACGGGAGTTAGCGGATCCCTTACCGTAACCCTATGCTATATCAAAATTAGTTTACGCTCCATTTACGTCTGCAAGGAAAGGAATTTCTGATAATTTCTTCATAAAAAACACCAAGGGGAAATTTTAATGAAGCTCAGGAATCTTCAGAAGAAATAAAAGTTGGCAAACAAGCAAACAAAAGTTGGGTTAGATCACTTAATCCACCTCCTGTCAAAATGTAAACAGAATAAGGGATTAGAGGATTTTTGTGTGTTCGTGTCCGAGAACTATAAAATACCATTTAAAATACCGTATTGTTAGCGGTACCGTATTAGCGTAGCGTCTGAGGCACGAGAACTCTCTAAACTGATTTGTGAGTACCGACTGACTATCACTCGACGCTATAGTAAAAAATAAGGTTTACGTTTAAAGATTACGTTAACGTGTTTGGTCAAACTTAAAGTGTCCATTATATATATACAAAACACAACTTTTTATTTAGTTTTTACACTTTTCCGAACTCTCCCGCTCTCCGTTGTTTATAATTTTTCCTTCTCTAACGGCTCGACGAAACCATTGGTGCGTACGATTTGTCTGAACCGGTTAGCGTTAGTGCGGTGCAGTTATGCTTTGGAACGCAACCATCTCAACTACACTGGAAAATGAACGCTGAACGGTATGAATGGTGTGAAAAGTGCGACATAATGACGGCTCAGGGTAAAAACTGTAAATAGTTCGGACTTATCGTACGCACCACATATCGCCGAGGCGGTTAGAGAAATGACATACCGTTTTCTAACCCGGTTACAAAAGCCGCTTTTCAGCTGACGCTTTTGAGCACGCAATCGAGCTTTTGCGCGCGCAATTGCTTCAAGCGCATGAACGTGTGCCAGCCGTACTGCGCTTCGAGAGCTGCTAACTTTTGCGTTTCAAACACAGAACACTGCTGCACCGTGCTTGAAGCACACAGCTGGAAAGCGGCTATGTAACCTCTTCGATACCACTCGAATTTGAGCGGTATGTTGCGGTTTGTTAAATCGGAGCCACGTGGAAAGGGCTAATGGGGAAAAGGTAATCCACTACAAGGAATCCACGAACCGAATCCACCTTGCGTTCGGTATTTTGCTCAAAGAGCAGAGCGTGCTGAGCGGAGCCGTAATCAAGTGACCAGCGAGCGCACAGAGCAGTTAAACGCTGTATCAGAGCGCTTGAAATTTTTATAAACAAACGCGAATGAGCCTGCACTGAGCACACTTTTTTAATAAACGAACGGTAAATTCAAGCTCGGAGAACTCGGATCAAAATACCGAACGCACGGCCACTGTAGTTGTATTCTTTTCACACCTAGGAGGAGCTCCGGGCGTTAAGGTGGAGCTCCGGAACAGCTCCGGGGCGTTACGCGCTTATTTATTTCGAAAAGTGTGTTTGTTGCACACCGCATATGTTCCTTTCAATTCGGGGGCGACTAGCACCGGAGCGAGTAGCTCGAGTGTTATAAACTCTTGAAAGGAAACAACAACTTGCCTAACTGACAACTGACACTGACGCTAGTGAGTAGTGTGACACTACTCCAGTCCAGTCCGTCTGACTCCAACAAATCCAATTTTTCGAAAAAGCAGTTAAAAGTAAGGAATTTATTATTAATTTATTTAATTTCTCAATAAAAAAATCAACATCATCACGAACACTATTTTCAGATGGAACCCATGAATTTAGGTAGCGCCCCTACGAGCCCCTCATCTCCACCAACGAACTCCATTCTTTTACCCAATATTCTAATGGGAGATGATTTTGTACCTTCAACCCCTCATAATCCAACAATATCTCCTGGACGTAACAGGACTAGGACGCCGGGAAGCTTCAAGTCCCCTGCAAATGTAATCGAAGGCAGATATTCAGGTCAAAGTTGGTTCAATGGGTCCCAAATTGAAAGTCCAGTGCCACAGTTGCCCTACGGCCAGAAAAAAGAAAATGCTGGGCCTCCAACTACAAGCCTATTTCATGCAGGTGATAGAAATCCGATGTCTCCAGTTTCATGTGGGACACTAGCCTACCATGGTGGACCTACAACATATAACGAAAACATTTCAAGAATTCATTCCGAAGAAACTTTTAATTCAAGCAGAAACCTAAGCAACTCGAGATTTGAAAGAATTGATTCTTATTGGGTTACAGTATTCGGATTTCCGCCAAGTTCCTTAAACATGATACTCTCCCAACTCTCAAACTGTGGAATGATTGTGGAGAAAAGAATGGCACAAGGAAATTGGGTGCATGTACGGTTCAGTAACTTTAATGAAGTTTCCAAAGCCCTATCGCTAAATGGAAAAATTATAAGTCATGATGTAATGATTGGAGTTCAATTGCATTATCCAAAAGAAAATAAGGAAAATAGTGGCATGATGACATCACCTATTAGAGCACTAAACCAAAGACACTCCTATATATCACCACAGCATGCATCTAACAACTTACTCCAAAGGCAAAATTTGCCACAAAAATCTACCGGTCTTGTAAGTAAGGCAATGGAATATGTGTTTGGGTGGTAATAATAATTCTATTTTGTTTTTTACTTATTTTGTTTTGTAAGGGTTCTAAGGGACAAAAATTTAGCATTCAACATAAAGTAGCTTGAGAAAGTTTGCCAAAAATAGAAATTGTGATTGAGATTTTTAGATTGAAGTGCAAAGGCAACAGGTTTACAATAATATGGTATTTAGTAACAAACAGCAAAAATGCCAACTGCCACATTCTTCAAACATAAATAATAGTTACACACTACATAAAGGCTCATTTTTATTGTGCATCAAGCTTTGGCTATTATGAATTATGAAGAAATAAGAAATGTGCATTAAAGACTAGCTATTACCTGGGTAAATCCGCGTTTCACTATTTAAGGCAAAGTTGCAGCCTAAAATCAAAAAATTACATGATAATAAATGCCTGATGAATACAAAATAAAGAAAGTTGAGTGCTGAATTAAGTTGTGTCTGTTAGAAGAACTCATCTTTAAAGTTATTGTTTCACTTCACAGTAAAATTTTTTTTGTACTTTATAATAGAATAATAATTAGGTATGTATTTTATAATAAAATCTCAAGTTTGCAATACCTATGTCTTTTGTCTTTGCATCTCAATTTTGTAGGTCCTAGGGTGCTAAGGCTAGGACCCTGTTAAAAAAATAACTTGAGACAATGGTATTTTAGCGAGTATTTTAGTCAACTCAAGAAAGTGTTGCACAAAGTTAAAAAATTCCTATTTCACTTTTCTCAATAATTTTCAGTAGGTAAAGCAACCTGAGACAAAATTTCCAGGAGTCAAAATATCTTTTACATAGACACCTTATGAATCTTATGATCTAGAAATTAGAAATATTTCCTGGAGAATGAAAAGGTTTTAATCCCCTATGGGTACAAACCGTGCTGTTTTTGCAAGGACATCTTTTGCCATTGTTTCATTACAAATGCAAAATGCAACTGAGTATTATATTTCTGGTCTAGTCTGCTGGTTAGATCTCAGTCTTTCCAAGACTATTTGTGTTATAGCAGTTATTTTTCTTTGTATGCTTGACAGTATATAGTTTATGAGGACAGGTACTATGAAGTGATTATAGTCTCTCATTCTTGGAAAGACTAGAATAGAAAGAAGTTTATTATGTGAAAATACAAAAAAAAGAGTGCAAATTACATGATAGGTAGCATTTCACTTGGCTAGAAATAAAAACTTAGCTACTAACAAGTACCAAGTACCTACATTTCAAACCAAGATATATTTCAAACCATTATTGTTCTAATATCATATTTGTTATGAATTTTTTAAAGTGATGTTTAAAGCTTGCCAGAGATTTAGTAAATATTAGGACGAACATGTCTGAGTTAAGAAGTTGTACATACTTATTTATGAGATACACAATTTCTAAACCTAATAATAAAATAATAATAATACAGAGTATGTTGTCCAATAGCAGGCAGAAAAACCGATGAAGCTATTGTTACTTCTTTGAGTTGTGTTTACTTGCAAGTCACATAATTTTCTTTTCTTTTTTTTTTCTCTTTTTTCTTTTTTTTTTTCCTTTTTTTTTGCACTAGGCACTGTAATGTATCATTCTTGTTGCACTATCCTTAAGTTCCAAGTCCAATCTGTTTATACCACGAATAAACGACACGATTTGTTAGGAAGTTTTTTCTAGGAAGTTTGGCTGCTTTTTCTTTGTCTAGTTTTTTTGAGTGGCCTCGAAGTTGTTGGTTTTAATTTTGATGAAATATCCCTGATATGGAGGTTGTATATGAGCAACTCTGTTGGATACCGCCTCCTGGTTAAATTTTGTTTGTTTTATAATTAGGTATTACCTGCATAAATAAAGACATTTTCATTTTATTATTATTATTATTATATTATATGTCATATGTCGCAATTGCAGTATCCAATTGTTATCTTAAAGGTGTCAATCAGATCTCCCCTGTGCCTTCTTTCTCTTAATGTTGTTAATCGGTATCTCTCCAGTCTCTCAGGATAACTCAATTCTCTCATTTCTGATTGTATCTTGGTTATCTTCCTCTGTATTTTTTCTAAGATTTCTATGTCCTTGATGAAATATGGATTCCACACTGAGTAGTCCTAGCAGTTAACGACAATTCTGACCAAAACCCTGCAAATTGTGTTAAAAACATAAAACTTGGTAGGCAGCTTAAATAGGTCAAATTAGGAGATTTTGCCCGCAGTATCCAAAAAAATACGCCTATGAAGTAGCTCAGGGGTGGAGTATACTTTAAGGGGATTCAATTTGCAAATAAATTAAATAATAACCAATACGGGCGAGTCGACCACGTCGAGTCGACGAGTCCGATGCCGTGCGCGGAGTCTCATTTAATTGCATGAGTATCAAAAACTACCGAATGCTCTTCGCCGAGTCGACCGGTCCGAGTCGATTCAGTGCGCGTCCTGCTTTAGACGTTTATGGAGAACTAAAAAGCGGATCATTTTGAAAATTTGGCAACCGGGATAAACGACCATAATCTACATTTTAAAAATATTTTTGTTTATGCGGTGTTGCCGCTTCTACTCTAAACTAGTGGCAACATCGCTATTTTAAATGGAACACCCTGTATGCATGCCAAACTTTGTCGAATGCTTTAGATATATCTAAGGCAATTGTTCTTGTTTCACCCCGCAACTCAATCGCTTTTTGCCATACGTGAGTGACGTATGTAAGTAAATCGCCAGTTGACCTATATTTTCGAAATCCGTATTGCTTATCGTTGATAATTTTGTACTTTTCCAAGTACCTACTTGGTTAGGTGATTGTTCACAACTCTTTCCATTACTTTTGATATCACCGGAAGTAGAGCAAGTGTACATTATGGTCGTTTATCCCGGTTGCCAAATTTTCAATATGATTCGCTTTTTAGTTCTCCATAAACGTATAATACGCCATCCACCGTGGGACACCCTGTATATTCATTTTTGACACAATTTTTGTATATTTGTAAAAATTTACCAAAAACAATAAAGGAACAAAAACAACAACATTGTATCGCTTTTTTGGAAACTGTGGGCTGTATCATCAATACCACAGAAAGTATTGCCAAGCATCGTAGAAGTTGACTCTTGTACGCTGTATCCCCACCTAAATGTTTTAGTTTTATTCCAAATATTTTTCAGTTGATATCCCCAAAAATTTCATAATGGTTGCCATTTTCGAAACTAAAATTTATTTATTTTCTACTTTACTATTATAGATCCATAATACCTAGGAAACGAAATACGTTAACACACCTATAACAACCTGATCCATAACGCCCGCTTTTGCGGGCGTTATGATCTATAACGCCCGCTTATAATATCTTAAGGTGTTTTTGTTGTTGTTGTTCTATTAATTTGCACTTTACCCTAGGCAGCCACTAAATGTCTGACCGAAAATAATTTTCGGTCTAGCCAGGATTCGAACCCGGTCTACCATCAACGTTTCCCATGTAGTCCAGCGCGTTAACCCACAGGACCACCACCGTTGCCTTGCCTTATGAGATGTTTATAGATATATTAATGTATTTCGTTTCTATGTACAGGTCGCAGGTACAGGTACAGGTCACAGGTACAGGTACATGTCAAAATACAAAACAATATTCTGTCACACAAGTTTAACTGATTTTGTTAATAACAAATTGATGAAAAAACATTGTGTTGAGTAGAAAATAAAGCATTGTATGCACCACGGGGATTTCAAGATTATAATGCCCTTCAGGCGAAATATATCCCTCGGGCCATAGGCCCTCGGGCTAGTTTCGCCTTCGGGCATTATAATCTACATAATCCCCTTGGTACATAAATAGCTATTATTTTCTACTTTACTATTATAGATCCATAATACCTAGGAAACGAAATACGTTAACACACCTATAACAACCTGATCCATAACGCCCGCTTATAATACCCTAAGGTGTTTTTGTTGTTGTTGTTCTATTAATTTGTACTTTACCCTAGGCAGCCACTAAATGTCTGACCGAAAATAATTTTCGGTCTAGCCAGGATTCGAACCCAGTCTACCATCAACGTTTCCCATGTAGTCCAGTTTCCTTATTCTTGAAACAGGAGATTAGTGTTCCCAGGAGAACGAGTGTTCCGTCTTTCTCAATGATATGAAATTGATAATATAAGGAACAAAGACGGAAAACTCGTTCTCCCGGGAACGCTGCTCCCCTGTTTCAAGAATAAGGATGCAGCGCGTTAACCCACAGGACCACCACCGTTGCCTTGCCTCATGAGATGTTTATAGATATATTAATTTATTTCGTTTCTATGTACAGGTCGCAGGTACAGGTACATGTCAAAATACAAAAAAATATTCTGTTACATAAGTTTAACTGATTTTGTTAATAATAAATTGATGAAAAAACATTGTGTTGAGTAGAAAATAAAGCATTGTATGCACCACGGGGATTTTAAGATTATAATGCCCTTCAGGCGAAATATATCCCTCGGGCTAGTTTCGCCTTCGGGCATTATAATCTAAATAATCCCCTTGGTACATGAATAGCTATTACGAAATACCTTGATGGATATAGATTATGGATGAACAAGTTAAGAGTATTATAGACCTTTTATTTCTGATACTTAGGTATAGGTACCTTTAGGATAAAAGAAAAGTGAAATTTTAAGTTTCTTCTGATTCTGGTGCACCTTCGACCCTAAAATATTCATTAAAAAACGAGTAAATTACCAAACTTACATTTTGTCAAAGTAACAGCATTCTTCTTTGCATTTATAACATGCTGGAGTACATAATGGTAGCCCATATCGCCTACACTTCTCTACTCAAATGCTCCTCTACGGATTGTGCTGCCTCACCTTAACTTATAAAAGCTTTTGTGGTCCTGGCTTCATTCCAGGGCCCAGGCAAATCAAGCACTGTTTTTTTCATTTTGATGTGATAAATGAAACCGAATCACATCCGGTAAATGTGGGAAGTCCCCCGAGTGCTTTCGATTTTCAAGATCCGAAAACTTTGGCAGTAGCGT